TATACTCCATAGAAACTTACATTTTAAAAAACATTTTTCCATGGTTACTTTGTCTAGGTCTAGATCAGGGCAGACAAAGAGATGTACGGACGATTGTTCGTGTGAACAGAAGTACAAGTGGCACAGACTGCTAGCTTACGATCCTGAAGACGACTGTAAAGGAATATTTATGGACTGGTTTCTCTTCCCTTCCTGTTGTGTATGCAGATGTGCTAATCTCACCAGTAAATAATCCTTTCGTAGCTTTAAAAAAAAGATGGCCGACTTTGAAAAGGGAAAGAAGACGTACCGTCGTTGGGCGACAAGATTTTAAGAACTTTGGTGAATTGATTAAAATTTAAAGTACGCTACAAGTTTGATCCCACACGACACGAGTGATTTTTGTCAGTTGCTTAGTATTCTACTTACCTTACCAGTACGCCCTAATTCTGCGATAGTTAAATTCCGATACCGATAGCATGACGAATAATGATTGAGAATTATTAATTTCGAAAGACTGGATATATTAACACTTTGTCCTAATCTAGCGCGAGAAGCGGGAAAATAACAACCTTTTTGAACATCTACATATTCAAACTAAACACTTCACTTAACCCTAGTATTACATTAATGAGAAGTGACGGTGCTTACCCTAGCGTCCAAACGCTTGTGTATTTTTTTTTAATTGTAAAAGCAATATTTTTCTTAAAATTCATAATAACATAATTAATACTTAATAAAAAGAGACAATCAAACAGAGAATAAACTTGTTTGAATAAAAAACTAAGTATGAATAAAAGAAGGATTTAAGGTGAAATTACTCTAATTTTCATACAAGTGGTATTATCGTGCACTCGTTGTGTTTTTACATAGTTTATTTCCTGTCATTACCAGAAGAGGTGAATAAACATAATTTGTTTGCAACTGTCGTGATTATTTTAAATGTGAATGTAAAAGCAGAATGAAACACTTTTTATTTTAAACTGTTTGGTTGAACAGTTGACAAGATAAATATAACAAGTTAAAACTGAAGCGCTTACATTATACTAACTATCACTACTTATACCCTAATATTCTGCTAACATGTTTTTGGTAATCCAGGTTTCAATAGAAGGATCAGTAGATTATTTCAGTACCTTATTTTTGTCTCTGGAATAAACTAATATGCCAACAGTGAATCCAGGTTTCAATAGAAGGATCACTAAATTCTTTTAACACCTTAAGTTTCGCCTCTAGAATAAACTAATATGCCAACAGTGAATTTAGGTTTCAATAGAAGGATCACTAAATTCTTTTAACACCTTAAGTTTCGCCTCTGGAATAAACTAATATGCCAATAGTGAATTCAGGTTTCAATAGAAGGATCACTAAATTCTTTTAACACCTTAAGTTTCGCCTCTGGAATAAACTAATATGCTAACAGGGAATTCAGGTTTCAATAGAAGGATCACTAAATAATTTTAACACCTTAAGTTTCGCCTCCGGTATAAACTAATATGCCAACAGTGAATCCAGGTTTCAATAGAAGGATCACTAAATTTTTTAACACCTTAAGTTTCGCCTCTAGAATAAACTAATATGCCAACAGTGAATTCAGGTTTCAATAGAAGGATCACTAAATTCTTTTAACACCTTAAGTTTCGCCTCTGGAATAAACTAATATGCTAACAGGGAATTCAGGTTTCAATAGAAGGATCACTAATTTTTTAACACCTTAAGTTTCGCCTCTGCAATAAACTAATATGCCAACAGCGAATTCAGGTTTCAATAGAAGGATCACTAAATTCTTTTAACACCTTAAGTTTCGCTTCTGGAATAAACTAATATGTCAATAGTGAATTCAGGTTTCAATAGAAGGATCACTAAATTCTTTTAACACATTAAGTTTCGCCTCTGGAATAAACGAATATGCCAACAGCGAATTCAGGTTTCAATAGAAGGATCACTAAATTCTTTTAACGCCTCTGAAGTATCTAAAAACAATTTTAACATCATAATTTATTCATTTATCGTAACAGTCGTTGTTAGGGTATTGATACCAGCAGGAATAATATTATACATGACGAAGTTATATAAAAATAAAACAAGATTTGACACTTATGCACAAACAACGAACCATTTAACCAAAATGAACCAAAAAGTTTGATTACGTTTCTTTAAGATAAAGCTAATAAAAAAGATAAAACATTTGTGTCATATATTACTCATTTGGAAAACAATATTTAATATATTTTCTTAATAATGCAATTAATTATTATTAAAACCGTTTTTCAATGTTGCTGTTTAAATATTTCGGATTAACATAATATAACATAATGTTTAGGAACAACAATGAGCTTATTGGTTCATCTCGGCTGTTCCATCCTATAAAGCTAGCCCTTATCATTCATTTACTTATCAAGCTCTTTCTTAAACTCACTTAGATTTACTGCCTCTACAACATCCACCCTTTTAAAAAAATGAAACTGTCTTAGCTGAAAATGACTCCTCCCTTTCTAAAATTACATTTGTGTCTCCTAGTCTACTATTCTCACTGTTAAATATGGAAAAAGATGATGCATCAACACTATCAATTCCTTTTACAATCTTAAACACCTCCATCAGATCCCCCTAACTCTTCTATTTTCAAGAGAAAACAGTTTGAGAATTTTCAGCTTCTCCTCGTATGACAATCCCTCCATCCTATGCACCATTCTATTAACACTTCTCTGAACATTTTCCAACAACTCAATGTCTTTCCTAAGGTAAGAAGCTCAAGACTGAACATAATATTCCAAATTTGCCTTAACCAGTGACCTGTACAATGAAATTATAACCTCTTTAGACTTGTATTCAATATTTCTGTAGATACAACCTAAAATCCTAATTGTTCTACCACTAGCAACAGCACACTGCTTGGATGGCTTTAGAGACTGATCGACTATTACACCAATATTCCTTTCCTTCATAACACTGCCATGGTTATTCCCATCCAAATTATACTTATAATTCAAAGTATGATAATCCATTTGCTATTTATTTGGCCAACTCACTAAATGATCTAATTTCTTTTGTAAATCAGTAGTATCTTCTTCACAGCTAGCAACACACAAGACCTTAATATATAAAGCAAATATAAGTCATTTATTGACAATTCCTTTATTTATGTCATTGATGTAAATCAAAAAGAGCAAAAGGTCCTAAGCCTGAGCCCTGAGGTACCACACTTGTAACATTAATCCAGTTTGACTGAACTCCCTTTATAACAACCCTCTACTTTCTTCCATTCAGCCACTCTTCTATCCAATTAGCTAACTTATCCCTCACATCTATAGAGATAATTTTTAAAGCCTTTTATGTGGCACCTTGTCAAAGGCTTTCTGAAAATCCAGATACACCAAATCTACACCCTTACCATCATCTACGTAAGCAGTAACCTTTTCAAAGAATGTCAAAAGATTTATAAGGCAAGATTTTCCCTTAGTGAAGCCATGTTAACTATCCAATAAAATTCTAAAGTGTGTTTTCAATGACTTTGCAAAGCCTTTTTTATTAGATTTTTTAAAACGTTTCCCACAACTGATGTAAGACTAATAGGTCTATAATTACCAGGAATTTCTATCACCTCCCTTGAAAAGAGGAGTTACATTAGCTAACTTCCAATCCTCTGGTACATGCTTACTATTCAAGAACTGACAAAAAATAGTGGTAAGTGGCTCATATATCCAATCATTAACCTCCTTCAAAACCCTTGGGGAAATATTATCTGGCCCAGTAGCTTTATGTTTTTTTTAAAATTCTCAATTTTTCTTAATCAGTTCAGAATTAATGCAGTCATCTTGTTTGATCTCGTTTCCATCTATCAACTGTTCAAGATCTTTGTTAGTAAAAAACGAAGAAAAAACAAAATTTAATAACCCAACCATCTAACAATCATCAAACACTAGCCTTCCTTTATTATCCCTCAGGTGTTCTACCTCTATCCTATCATTTTATTTACCCTTAATGTATTTAAAGAAATACTTAGAGTTAACTTTTACATTTTCAGCCAACCTTTTCTCATACATCCTTTTTGATGTCTTAATTTCCTATTTCATCAGCTTTTTCTTTAATTTTATCTCATTGACTCTTTGTGGGCCAATCTGGTTTTTAACTTGCAGCTACTCTTTTCTTTCTATAAGGAACGTGTTCACCTTGAATATTTAGAAATTAATCTTTAAAACTTTTCCACATCTGATCACTGTCTCCAAGTAATTGGATTTTTTGAAATTTGTAACCAAAATATCATTATTTCTTACTCCATATGCAGCAAAACATTGAACCGAATAGAGCAATGATCACTTGCACCAAGATGTTCTCCAATTTCGACCCTCTCAATCATTTCTATATTTGAAGTTAACAATAAATCTAAAATAGCATTGTTTCTAGTAGGTTACTAGACTAATTGGTGAAGAAAGCCATGCTGAACAGTTTCCAAAAATCTTTCTCTCTCATGGTTTGACTCTAGAATTTCCCAATCTATATGCCTGAAATTAAAATCACTCATAATTATGACTTCATTAATGGCTTAAATCTTAATCTCATTATAAAGTTTCTCACTAATTTCATCAGTATCATTCGATAGTCTGTAACAAATTTCCACTAAAAGCCTTTTCCCATTATATCCACTAATAGAAACCCAAATGGATTCAATCTCCTTGCTATTATCCTTGATATCCTCAACTTCAACAGGATGTATCTCACATTTTACATATAAAGCCTCTCCCCCTCTTTAATACTGTATCCCTATTAAATAACCTGTAATCCTGTATTTCAAATAAATTTCTGTCATAAAAATCATCTACGTTTAACCATGTTTCAGATATTCCCATTATATCAAAATCCTCCAATCCTACCAGTGCTCTAAAGTCATCTATTTTATTTTTTATACTTCTAGCATTACAATA